AGCAAAAACACAAATGTTGTAGGCAAACATAAAACACAAAAGAGAACCCAAAAGCAAGAAACAGAAAATCAAAAAAGCAGCAACAGAAGGCACAAAAATAGCACAAACAACAACAACAACACTAGAAGAGAGACAAAAAAAGCAAGAGCAGAACAGAAAGCAAAAAGGATCAACAACCGATAAACAAGTAGGAATAGCTATCCGAAGACTTGAAGACGATCAGAAGAGAGGTCCACAACCGTCACAGCAAGACAATTAGCTTATTGATTTGCGTCACGACTTGTATAGAAAACAAACCAATTCAAAATTCTTTTCTTCAAACAATTAATCTGATTCATGATCCCTTTAAAGCACCAAGGTGCAGTGGAAGGGTTATTAGCCCACGAACAGCATTGAAAGAATCTGACTCCACCATAAGAGAATGCGTAGAAACCCAATAGGAAGCAACAAACAGAGAAAGAGCTTCTTTAATTGTACAAATGTTAGCCAAGTTAGAATCACCAAGACCCAAAGGCTTAGAGAAATGGATTTTGACACAGCCTTCATGATCCCTCCACGCACCACCGATGCTAGAGGAACTAGAGCAGCCTTAAGTTGCTCCGTCAATATTAAATTTCCAGGTGCCTTTTCATCTACCTAATCCAATCACACTTTAGCTTTCTTTTTAGTAATCGAAGCTTTAACACAAGCAAGTTCTGTAGTCATATCCATCACAGAGGGATTCACATAAGGCCATTTAGCCTTCGCCCACCAGCTAACTCTTAATTTGACAATATCAAAAATATGACAAGATTTCCAAAGTTTTCCATTAAAGATTAAACTGTTTCTATGAGGCCATATCTTCTGAAGGATCGCAAAAAAAAAAAAAAAAGCCATTCTCTAAACAAGATTGTGTTCACTACCACAAAAAGAATCATTCCAAGCAATAAAGAAATCTCTCAACTTACCAAGAAAAGCCCTAAGCGTTAATCCATAGTGTCCAGATTTTCCAATCATCATTGCATTGAAGAAAAAGATGCTCCACTAATTTCAATTTCGAAATTGTAAATAGCACAAAGGGTAACATTCCTATCAATTAAACTCATTTAACGGCGCTCACCCTTCACGACAGTCTTAGCTTTCGTGACTTGCTAGCAAAAAGACCTCAACTTTGGTGGAGGAGGGGGAGGCGAGGTTTACTAAATCATATCCCAAAAATTTTTCTCACCATCAGAATTACCAATAGTAGATCTGTACAAGGCATTGGTCCAATAAATACCATTGAAGTTGCCTTAACAAATGACTCTATTTGGCTCACCTTTATCTGGAGAGATATATTCAATAACCTTCAACAAAAGTTGCCACTGATCTATTTCCCAGTCAAAAAGCTCTCCCCTTATAAGAATTTTCCAATTCCTAAAATCATTGACCCACTAACAATGATCATTAAGAAACCATCCTTAAGAGAAGACAAGGCAAAAATTTTGGGGAATGCTGATTTAAGGAGAAGACCCTTAACCCATTCATCAGGTAGAATTTAACACGGTCAAGTTTACCAAGAATCAAACCAATACGGACTCTAATAAGCTCGGGGATATTACCATTCAAAGCTAACAGACTGACAATGTTCCTTCAATCAATGACGTATTCCTCAATGAAGAGCGAAAAAGGAGCAAATAGTTAGGTCCATACTATTCTTCTCAATGATAACTTTCATCCAAAGACTATCCATATCTTCACCCAAGCACTAGATCCATTTATTTAATAAAGTTGAGTTTTTCATATGGGGTTAACAATGCCAAGACCTCTATTTTCCTTGCCTTTTTTGTGTAAATTAGCCTAATGATCGTCAAACTTCTCTAAAATAAAGGTGCGAAGTTAAAATCTCCCTACAAAGACTAAGCTTTTGAATTAAAATATCCTACTCCCCCTCAATTTAACACTTAAAAGTAAAAAAGCGAAAACATGCCTAAGCAAAGTAATTATTTAGCTAAAAAACAAAGTCATAAAAGGAGAAAAGAACAAAATAAAGGCAATGAAACATAAAAACCAAAAGCCAATAAGGATTTCCTACTTGCCTACACTCAAATTCTAGAGCATAAAGGAAGGGGATTTACTGTAAACGCATAATAGGAAGATCAAAACACCATAACAATGGCAAAGTTAGGATTTCGTATCGGGGGTAAAGAATGTCTATAAAACGAAGTTTAATATTTAACAAAAACATGAAATAACTTAAATAAAAAAAAATTTATGCGAAAATTACATAAATAACTCTAATTACATGTTAAGTACAAAATAAAGATATTTTTTAACAACTAGTATATGCCAAGATAAGGCATCTTTAATTGAGCTTAATGGTTTTTCATAAAATTGAAGGCTTCTATCACTGAATCAATGTCAAAGTCTCGATTAATTTCCCTTTCAATAAGAATGATCAACAAATTTCTAAGCAAATCATCTAATATTCTATTATGAGTCTCGTTCTTAATGAGTTTCACAACAAAAAATTTACATTTTGATATTGCAGTGGAAACTATAAGAGTCAAAACAAGTTAGATCAATTTGTTAACAAAAAAGTAAATTTTTTATATGCCCATCTTCTTCAACACTTGATATAGCTTAGAAAATGTAGATTCATTTTTCAAAACATAATTATGAAAAATGTCAAGCCTGAATAGATCCAATTGATAACTTAGATATATTTTATTATACTCAGTAAAAATATCAGGGTAATATTTATTTGCAAGGTTGTAAATACTTTCAATCGTAATCATTTTGAGTGTCCAAAGCTATGCCAAGGGTGAATAAACCAACTTTAGTAACTATCATGATATAAAAATTGAATTATTAACTAGAAGTTTCTACCCAGATAATGCTCATGGCAAGCAAAAAAGTGTAAAAAAAAAATCTTGTTCTTTTTATTTGGTAAAAAGAAAAGAGAAGGTTGTGAGGTTTGGAAAAGTGAGGTTAAGAAATAATTCTATTGTAATAGATTTTATTTTAATTCTAAGTTTATTAAAATTATTTGTTGACTAATTGCCACGGAGCATCTCAGTAAACAAAAAATTATTGTAAAGATAAAATTATAATTTTAAAAAAAATAAAAATATGTTGAAAGGTTTTTAAAATTTTTACAAAGATAAATTAATTATAAAATTTTGAAAAAAATTAAAATATATTTTTAAAATTTTTAAATTTTTTAAATAGATGGGCCCTACTAACCTCGTCCCCTCCGCTTCTGCCGTAAAGGCCATGCCAAAATCAAGTGTAGCTCTCATAGGAATAGCCATCTTTCTTGGCCACATTCCATTGTTTGTCTTCTGGTGTATTAAATGCAAGTGGACAACAAGTAACCTTCAAACCATTGATAGAATTGGCTCTCTCCTAATTTTCCGTGGTCGTTCTCTTGCTTGAACTTTGGTAGTATAACTCGAATCTAGATTTTTATCTAAGAATCCGTCTATCTCTTACTATAAATTTGACTTGTTTATGCCAAATCTAAAATCTTTTTCTTCTTCACTTTCGAAAATATTAATGAAGTGAAGTTGATATTTGATGTCTTGGTGCAAAATATGACGAATAATCAAATTGGTTTAGATACATCAGAAATGATACATAGTATTCCATTGTGGAGTAATTGGACAAATATTCATTAGCAATCGAATTACTTATTACATTATATTAATCGAGAGCGACCCAATTTGAACTCCCGGGTTAGGGATAGCCTATAAGTTATCAAACTATATTGAAAACACATGCAATTGTTGGCTACTTAAAGCATTGTTTATTACTTAATATAAAATTTCATGGGAAGAATTATTTTTAGAAGAAAAACGACCAATTAAGTTCTCGTTTAAGGGAAACAACAATGACAACGAGACGACAAGGAGAAACAAAGGTGAAGAGAACAACTCACTAAGAAATTAATGATAGGAGGACTTTTTTGCTATATTGTTTTCTGGAGCACATGACATTACGTATTTAGTTCCTGCAATTTGGTTTCCGTCTCAAAACCCACGAGGATAGTTGCAAGGACCATTGAAGAAGACAATAAAAAAGTACAAGAGCCTTGTGACTAGTAATCGATAACTGCTTCTTCCATTACTAAAGGATCTTCCTTGGGCACATGCCTTGTCCTCTTCTAGGATGATTTTGTTGGACATTGTCATATCAGGATTTCATGCTAGACAAACAAAAGAACACTATATTGGCAAAGTAGATGAACTCTAGGGCCATTGAATGTTGCCAAATGGCAGCCTTTGCCAACTTTTTAGCTCAAAAACTCGAGAGCTAGCAGTCAGCTTTGTTTGGCAACACGTATTGGACCTTACAAGGGCTTCCTAAGGGCAATTGTGTGAAACTTTTTTTTACAATTTTTTATTTTTATATAAATTGTCCAATTCTTAAAACAAAATAAGCTATCTTAGTGGATCAGACTAAATACTTCTTTTTTTAATACATATTAAATCTGATTTTTATTTTTATAATATAGCTAAAGGTATCTCTGAATTTTACTTAGATCTAATCCATTCTCCAAAAGATTTTAAAAACACACTTCTTTACATCAATTTGGTGCATGCAGACGTATTCAAATATTTAACTTATTTAGTTGGTGTATGATCTCTTTTTTAAAAAAAATGAAATTCAAATCTCTTTCTTTTAATTCCAAAAAAATAAAAAATTTCTAAATACTCCCCACAAAAATAGAATCTTAATTGGCCAAAAAGAAAAAGAAAAACTCTTCTCTTCATCAACTAGAATAACTTGTCTGAATATTAAACTGTTAAATATTGAAATATTAATTTTCTTGTTAAAGTACATATACCTTTTAAAACCAAACTCACTTTGCTCATTGAGGAGATGAATCTGACAACACAATATAGTTATTGTAAGTCTAAAAGTTTGTGAAAAATTAGTAAAGGGTAATACCAAATTACCTTAACTTAAAAAAGTTTTTAAATAGAAAAATTTTAATTAAAAACAATTCAAACACTGAATTGAAGTAGAAATGATGGATTAATTAAACTGGGTCGACAGTTCAAAAGTGAGTTCCATTGTTCTAATCGGCCACTTTGGGTAGACAAATAAAATGGTGCTCATAAAAGCTCGGCTGGGCTTGGGCCAGTGGGGATTATACTAGAAAGAAAGTTAGCACCCAAAGCCGAGAGGGGCTTTGTTGGGCCGTAAAAGCCCCAAAACTTGCATTATGATCCCTTGTCATACAATAGAAAATAGTAGTAGTAATTCATGGAAAAATGTTATCAAGATATATATATACTGTCGAATGTCTGCGTACCCATTTTTCTCTTCTAAAACCCAGATAGGAATGCTGCTGCTAGGGCTACCATCGATGCAACAAAGAGTTGCCAAGCACATTGACTTGCTGTTAAATCCAATATGCATCAAGCAAATATGAATCAGTAGAAAGCAAGAGCTTCGACATGGAAGTTCAAAGTGATAATCAAAGGAAAACTGTAAAACTGATCAATATGATTGTAAAAAATGTTGCATGCTCAGCTAGAACCATTAATGGCAATGATATTAGTTAAATTTCACAAAGGCTAGTTTAATATGGGTTCAATGTACTTGGAAAAAATATACACCTACTATTAAATTAAATGTTTCGGTATTTGAACTAGCCTTTTGATTATGTAAATAGCAACAAATAAGCATTTTCTTTCAGGTTTATTAATTAGATTACTTCGTATATGATTAATAAAGCTTCAAGTAGTTACCATAGCCATCTGAGCTCAAACTAGAAGATGGCGGCGGTGGTGGTGGTGGTTGCGTAAGCCCCAGCGGCAGATCTAACCCAAGACCTTGGCAGTCAGCTCCAAAGTAGCCTGGGACAAAATTATCAGAAGCTATGTAAGAACAGCAAAGCAATCCAATATTTCCATGAGATATATTACCCTCAAATTATACATCTTCTGCTCATTAGTTTGTGCTAGGTTTAACCTAACAAGGTCAAGGTGGGTAAAGAAGTCAACTTACATGGTTTAAAACAAGCTAGGCCAAAGGAATTAAGCAAATTCTGTGAGCCTTGATTGCACTGGCAGATATGTCCAGTTCCATTAGTCACACATTTCCCATCACCACACCAAACAAGATCACAATCTGTGGAGTAAAATAAATTTCTTTCCTTCAGTTGGCAAAGTATTTTTGTCTAAAAAGATTTCATTGAAAAAATGAGTATAATGATATATTTATATATACGGGTAGTCAGATTGGCCGGTCGCGGAAGAGATGCTGGGGGTGGAGGCCGTGATGGAGATCCATTGCCACATTCAAAATCAACTGTGCCTGCAATATATTAGTGATGCAAATTATGGCACTAATTTTCTTCCTTGTAGATGCATATCAATGTTAATGTTCTAACTCTAACTCTATATTTTTTTTTATTTTTTATAAAGACAATAAACAAAAAGTGAAAATATCAATCAAACAAAATTTAAATAAATTTCAATGATAAGAATTTCTTTTATTTTATTTTTAAAATTAAAAACAAAAATAACTTAGACGTCAAATCAAAGAAAAATTCAGATATTTGACTTTTTAAAAATTCTCTAGAAGAATAACAACCATGGTACCAAGTTTAATTGTGACTAATAAAGATTTTGAATTAAGACGTACATATAATTAAGTTCACAAGCTTAGCATGCCGGTATTTTCTAAGATAATTAATTAGAAGCAACAAAAGTTAGGCAAATATTTGGCAGAATGCAAGCAAGAAACAAGAAAGATTGATTAATTAATCATTGTTAATATTCCAAACTAGAGTTTGAGAAAGTCTATTTTCTCCAACCACCTTTGATGTTGCTCTTTGGCAATATAAAAAAAAAATTAAAGTAAATTAATTATGAAAAAACAGCATAGCATGTACATATTAAGTGGAGAGAAGAAGCAACTGACAGTTTGGAATAAGACAAGAGGGGAAGGTGAAAGGACCGATCTGTATCTTTCTCCAACCAGGAAGGCATTCGCAGTCAAACCCAAGCAGTGAATTGTTGGAGGCCTTACATGTTCCTTGCCCACACTTTCTAAACAAACAAGCAATATCTGCAACAACAATGTTACTGATGAGTAAATCATCAAGCCACCATAACTAAAAATGCATATTTAGGAAGAAGAATTATAGGGGGTCTTACCTTGGATTGGATTCGCTTGATTTAATGTCACATGTGAAGACGTGGCTGTGACAGTTGAAGTGCAGAAACTCAAGAGAATAAGAAGAAGAAAAGAAAACAGTGCGAGATTCCAACTATCCATGGTGTGGGAGCATCAAGTTGGTGAAGACAGTTGAACGTATTTATAGAGATAAAGTCGCGTCCAAGCGTTAGCTTAGCTTGTCTATCTAGATTCTACAAAGGGCCTGCCGCTTTGGCTGACTCAGGACTTTTGGTTACCTCGCTCCTGCAAGGTGTAAGCAGAAGGAAGACCATGAAAAGGTTAAAGGCACAAGCAGAGCGTCTCAAAATGCATCTTTAGGTTTCAATCTGTAGTTTTCTATCTAGTCTGGACCGAGTTCACTGTCACTACTCATTCCAGGTACCCAACCTTGTAAGGAAGAACAAACTATTGGACAAAAAAAAAGAGGATCTGGCATGTTTGCAATATCTAGATGTTTACTGATAAAATTAGTGAACAATGATGAGGTTACATCAATGAGATTACAGATACAAATAGCTCAACATCATTACAAACAATCAGACACTTTCAAAAGTACAAACAAAAATAAGAAATAACGATGAACACCCTTTTGATAAACATATCAGGAAAGCAAACATTATATCATCCTCAAAAAGGCTTTCAATTCCCCTTATGCTGATCCAAATGCTTCTTAATATCCGCTTGACAAACACTTCTCTGGACCTTCTCCAAGGCTTCTTCAAAGTCACACATTGCAAGCAACTGGATCCTTTAAATGTCTAACTTCACCATCCACTGGGGCACCTGATGAAGTCCGGTACTCATCTAATGCTTGGAATACAAAAGAGGACATAGCATGAATCGGTCGTCGGTTAGAACCTTCCTTAAATGACCTTCTTTCCACATCCAATTGCTTCACAACTTCTATCTCCACCTATCGAGCTTTCGAACGAATTAACGGCTCATCAAACGAGTTTAGATGCCTAAATGCATAAAAAAAAAAATCAATAATTTTAGCAATTAAATCAAACAATAGTTACATAAATATCAATTTTTAAAATGCCAGTAATAAACATATAGCAATACTTATTTGGTTTTTGATTTATTGAGTATTTATATATATTTCGTGTTACCACTGACATGATGCAATATGAATAATAAAAATCAATGTAGTTCTCGAAAAAATAATATTTCACATATTTAGTCAAAATTTTGAAAACAAAAAGTAAATTATGGCCAACTAAAATGAAGCATTAATAATATATTTAAAATTTATTTTACTATAACTGGCAACTTGAAAAATTCCTCAGCAGACAAAGTTAACATTTGTTTTTATTCCCTAAAAAAACTTAAAATTCAGGAATGAATCAAACAAAAAAACTTGTTACTGAGCCATTTAAATGTCTAACTTCTGGTGAATCAAATCAATGTACAAAAATTCGAAATTAAGAGCTGAAAAAAAATAGGAAAGAAATTGAGAGCGGCTGAAATTATACAAAATGAAAGGAAAGTAAAGAAATGTAGAAAAATAATTGTTGATCTGAGCAATGGCGCCATCGAAGAAGATAATGGAAGTGTCGTAGAGGCCTTCGGCAGCGTGCAGGCTGACAGCTGAGCTGAGAAAACAGAAACAGTAACAAAACTCTACATAAAGGGAGCATAATATGGAGTTCAATATGGAGTTCAGTTGAGGTCCCTGAGGTGAGTTTAAACCATGCAGCACCACTCCAAGCCCAGCAATCCCACGAAAAAACCTTGACAGAGCATGTGAAGCAAGCACCTTTTCGTCCTGGACTGATGGGTTTCACATACCGCGCCCTGGCGCAGTTGAATTTACCTAGCAATCTAGCTCATCATATAAGAATGTTTCACCTCCCGCAAACTTTTCCAAGAACATGCTTCTGTTCTAGGAACGCAAACCAAATGCTGTCCATGTGAAAAGAAACTATGAAATTATGATTTGAGAATGCAAAAATGGAAGTGAGCCTCCACCAAAGATGTATAGTCCCCAAAGAATAAGAAGATTGATCATCCTTCTCAGCATCAGCTTATTATTTGTGTCAGAACCTAGGCGGAGTAAAGTAGCAGCACCTTCTAGAGTTCGACACAATGTTATAATTGAATGTTATTCCCAACATGCAAGACTTCGGAGTTTAAATGGAATGGGCACTTCAGAAAACTATAATGAGTTCGCATGTATTAATCATCAATGTGCACAATTTATACATGCATCTGTGAAAGTACTTTCCCAATATACATAACTGAAGCTGCAGCTCTAATTTGAGCAACTTAGCAGGTAGACACCCTGCAATTATTCAAATGAACCAGTTCTAAAACTTGAACTGGTCAATGTACCTGTTTCTGTATTTCAATTAAATGTTAAATGCAGTTACTGCACCATTCCATCTTTCACCAATTCTTCTAATCCTCTCTTCAGCCTCTCTGCAGCGGCTCTACAGTCATCCTCTACCAGCCCACCAAAGGAAATTCTTACATGGCCCGGGCACCCACATGCAGTTCCTGGGATCACAACCACCCCATGCCTGTTAGCAAGCCAGTGAACAACCTTGACATCATCAACATATTTCTTTGGTAGAGCTGCCCACAAGTAAATTGCACCTTCTCCACCCTGTACAGCACCTTCTCCCAATGGTGAGAGTGCTTCTACTACTATTTCTCGATTCTTGACAAGATCTTTGACTCGTTCAAGAACCCATTCAGGTCCCACTTCTAAAGAGTGAAGGGCAAGGCGCTGTGAAATGATAGAAGCACAAATAGGTATGTTGTCTTGAACTTTGAGAAGTTGTGTTGCCAGGCCCTCCACTTCTGTGGGGTATGCAATCTGTATGCATCCATGCAGGTTTAGAATAAGTTCAGAAAAAGTAGATAGTAACAAATAATTGATGAGAAATTAGAAGAATGTGGTTGGCACAAGATACAACAATTTTGATAAATATAGTACATAAATGAAAGCATCATCATACAAAAATAAAAGTGTAGACAGTTTCTTTTTAGTCTGTTTGGATGAATAAGATTGCGCAATTCTTTCCCCTGATTATGACAACTCTTTTTCCCATTTCTTTCACTTCCCATTTCCTTTGTCTGGTTAGAATATTATGAGATAACTTTGTTGTGGTGCTAAGGTCACTTTGAGGTCTACTAGCTTATTAGCAACTCTCATAAAGTAATTAGTTTAAGCCAACAAGGACCCATCTCAATTGCAAGGAAGAGTCCTTAGTGTCTTTAGGTCCTAGGTTCAACAAACCTTGTGTGGATATAGTCCCAACTTTATATTGGTTTCATCTGGTTTGTTTTAGTGATTTCTTCCATGGATGAATTAGGATAAATATTGAAAGTTAATTGATTGTGATTGTAATTTCTATTTGTAAATGTAATACACCCAATAAAATAAAGGTAATTGGTTTTAGAACTTGAGGTGAATATAATTGACCAAGGAAAAGAAAAAATATGAATAATTTTCAGGGATATACCATTTAATAACCAAAGATTATGCATTTATTTTGTGGAAAAAAAAAAGGAAAGTCTTGTCCAACAATGTTGTTACTTACATATCCAACTCGCCATCCCATCATCCCATAGGCTTTTGAGAAAGAAAAGATGTTGACTATGTGATTTCCTTCTAGGCAAGAGTGTTTTAGACCATCATACATAAAGTACCTGCATATGAGTTGTAATAGTCAATAGAGTATAATTAAAGAACAGTTAAACTGCAACAGTGTCCTGCATCCATGGTAAACCATCAACTATGCCACAAGGATTTGGTCATCAATTTGTCAAACTCCCGATGTCAATCGATCCCTCGCCAGACGTTTATATTGCATAAACTAATACTCAAATCATAATCCATGGGAAGGAGAAATAAGAGGGGCATGTTCCCAAGAAAAGAGTGTAGCCATACTTCAGTTAAAAGTTGTTTAAGCTAAAAGTGATGTAATCCTAATTCTAACTGTAGATAATAGAGTTTCAAAGAAGGTTTGCTTAATCTAAGACCACATGTATGGCACAATATTTTGATGTTATGCTGCCTAACATTCTAGCCATTTAAATGTACAGCAATGAGGAGAATATTTCATTATCCATTTCATAAAAAATCTACATCCTTGAGATTCAAAGTATTCTATAGTTCAATTATCAACATTCAACAGCTTTGTCATGACATAAGGCTTTCTCAAAATAACACAAAAATCCATCACATGGAATGCAAGAAAAACAGAAGAGACTTACTCATATGTATTATCTACGACCAGCCAGCATCCAGCATTTCTGCATAGATCTGAGATCCTCTATTAAAAAAAAAAAATAGTCAAAATGTTAAAATGAAACAAGAAAATTGAGCCAGTTATTCCAGAAAGCATGATCAAGCATAATAAAACCTACATTAGTACACCCTAGATACATATATGTAGATGTGCATGCATATAAGCACACAGCACGCCCACATAGAAAGAAGCACAAGGATGCAGAGATGCAGAGAGAGAAAAAGAAACCTTAAGTAGTGGCTCCGGAATGTAGGTCCCAGATGGGTTGCCAGGATTAACAACAGTAACAAGCTTTGGAACAGGCTTAGTTTCCAGCAATGTCTTTTCTAACCAGTCTGAAAATGAAGACAATATAGATAAATCATCTAAAACAATACACATGATATTCCTGGTCCAAATAATAATAAATCATGTGTTGTGTTATGCATGTAAATCTATTGCGCTTATATTACTTAATCATGATGGTCACATAGGCTCTTCTAGTGAAATCAACCAATTATGTTACTACAACATACAGTAGACAGGACCAGAACAACAGCAAACCCATTGGAAATAAGCTCTAAGATGTATTTTCATTCCCCCAACAAAAGCACCATAAACTATAATGCTATTTTTCTAAACGAGGAGCTTTGAGCAGCAACCAGAAAGAATCATAATGTCTTTTTTCCCCAGTAATCTGGAGAACATTATTATAGAACTTACAGGAACCACAAAACCCAAGCAAAAGTTCTGATAAACAATTACAATGCCATCTAATGAACTGCTTAATGAACTGCTTATCATGATACGCACCTGCATCTGGATAAAGAGTCTTTGGGTAACCAGGACCCACCAGTATCTTAGTGACACCTGTCATCTGGAACGACATGTAGGCATTGAAATAATATGGGGCAAACATGACTACAGAATCCCCCGCATCACACAACGTTAAAACAAGATTTACAAATGCCTGTCACAAAGACAAGTAAAAGATACCTTGAGCATTCTTGAAAGATATATTGAAATTGATACATTTGACCAAGAAAAAGAATGTAGCTTTACATTTCAAACCAATTATAGAATAAAATTTATCACCATTGTGCAATGCAAAAAGGTTAAAAGAGTATTATCATTAAACAGCATATACATAAAAATCAGGAGGCAGATCATGAATACAAGTTTAAATTATCCAATTCAAAAGTTGTAATCCCTTCCTACCAGGGATACAACATAATTAGTTTTTATTACAGAATCTCATAATGTTGAGTAGATTATTTAAAATTAACTCAAAAGTTATAATATTGGCTTAATAGCAGGATGTAGCAAGTTAGATAGAAAATCAAGCTACATTCATTTCCTCAAACTTCATAATTATTGCTCCTCACATCCCATTGATCTTGGACAAGACCTTCCAATGTGGCTCAGAAGATGCCATGTTGCAGAATTCAACAGCAATACACGAAGCCTTAAAGACCAAGCAAAAGAAGCACCTATATATATGGAAAACTTGAGCTCATGAAGCTAGAAAACCAAGCACCATGGAAAGTCATGTACTTATGCCAAATCAACCGGCAAATGAATCATCTAGCCACTTCTACTCATGATAACTGACGCAAAGAAATATGTAATACATGTACTACCTACTTAGTTGCAATGTGTCACTCTATACCATCAACAAAAACAAATAACAAAAATTCTATTAGGCAGTAAAGATTACCTGATTTGCACCAGCAGTAACCATCACTGAAGATCTGTGCAAATTATTCTCTTGACGCAACTGCAAAAAATAAAGAGAATCATTCTACAACTTATATTTACTACTTTCTAGTTAGATGAACATATGGTCGAGAACATCAATTTCCACAACACAATAAGAAATTGGTGTATAAGATGTCAGTGACTACAATACCCAACAGTCAGCATTTCTAAGAAGCTAGAGCAGCATCATCTGGGAAATATGAGGGTAGTTGAAAAGATGCCCCCTTAAAACATAGCCAATAATGATAGTGCCAAGCACGGGTACATACAGCCAACTCTAATAATTGGGCCAATGCTTTATAAACTCAAAAACAGACAAGTATCAAGAACAAGTACCAAAAATAGGCAAGCTAATAACTCCAGAGTTCAAAATATACACCGCACACAGATGGTAGAGATGTAACGTAGAGATGTAACTTGGCCAAGTCTAAGACTCAACACATATCCAACAAGACAAAGCGATAGAGAAGCTCAAGTGAACCTCTAACACTTTAGGGGAAATCAGCGCAGACTCCAAACTCCAAACCTTTGCATGCATAAAGATGCAACAACTATAAAAAGTCATCCTTAGTGTGGCTTTTTTTGTAGAGCAATCTGTCCTTTTCTAGGCATAGTTTAACAAATACCTATCATAGCTATGCAAAAACAAGGAAAAATCATCTTTGACCTTTATCTTTCTGTTTCCAAGCTCTGATTTCTCTAATTTATTTCTCATACATTGTTGCAACATACATCCAGTTGTAAACATCATATTCCTGTTAAGTAAAAACATGTTGATAATGATAAGCATTCAGAGGAAAAGATAACTTGATAGATATACTACATACATGCAGCAGATTATTGATTGTTAACCCTACAAAAACAAAAACTAAAAAAAAATAAATAAAGACCAGCAATCTCAAACTAGGGCTGCCCACAAGTTAATTCAACCACTAGAATTAAGCTTGTTGAGCCGTCAATTCCAACCGAACCAACCAAACTTACAGCCCCTATAAGCTTGGCCAAAGTCTACCAAGAGGCCTAAGAGTAAATGTAGCACACATAACGCACACTTTGCGATGATCATTTATTGTTAAACATAATAGTGGAAAGAATCTTAGTCCAAAGTACGTTGTAATTGTTCAAATTGTTAGATACCAACAATTAGAACTACAATGTTAGTGATCATTTAGAAGGTTTGACAAACTCTGTAAAAAGTATACCTTTCTTGTCAATGCCGCTCTAAGTTCGGGAAGACCTTCATCAGCACCATAACGACTAATCGAAGGCTCCTCAATAAGATCTTTGACCTTATCCAAAGCCCATTTGGGTGGTTGCCAGTATACTACTCCCTACAATTATTCCAATGAAAAAAAATTGAAAGTTAGCACAATCAATAGAAAAACTTTCCAAAAACAACTCAACTTCAACTAAATGCAACTATGGATAAGCCAATTCAATAACCAATGCAATCTAATTAAAACTAACACAATTATCTAAACCAAAAAGTCCAAAAGTGAATCTAAATCCATATATATGCAGATTCCCAGATGAAACTGCTTTACGGCCTTTTTAAAAAAAATGAACTGACAAGTATGAATTTTAGTCTGGGTTGGGTTGGAAACAAGATTTGTTCTATTAAAAAAAAAAAGCCTTCTATTAAAAAAAAGATGCATTCCAATCGCACTTCTGTTATTGTGTCTAATCTCCACAAATCAAAATTTCAAAAGACTAAGAATAACAAATCAGAGAGGGAGAAAGAGAAAGAAACAGGGAACCCTTTTATTAAAACCTGCAGCCAAACACACCATATACCTCAAGGTTAAAGTAACTATTCTCAGTTCTCGATATCTTATTCATTGTTATTTAACCAAAACCAAAAAAAAATGACACCTAGAGCTTAGATACCAGAGAAAAAACCATCCATTTCTCATTTCTTAATATCTGCACCATAATTAAAAGAGGATTAAACACATGTTAATTAAAAAACCAAAACAAAAACTACATGTTAAATGCATTAACATTAATCGAAAGAGGATTCTTTCAAGAAAACACAAAAGACATTGATAAAAGGAAAAAAGCAAACCTGAGCAAGTGACACAGCATTTTTAGCTCCTCGGATCAATTCCTGTATCTGCGGTAACACCAACCACACTCAACATCATCAAAAACCAACAACACTCTGCTAAAAACTCTACCGCATACACAAAAATATAACATGAAAGAACATGGATGGAAGTTGTAAACAGATTTATTGGCAAAATCAAAGAAAACCCATATTTGAAAACTGAATGAATACCTGAACCATGACTGGCATTTCAGTCTCTACAATCCTTCTGGCAAGCATTCCGTAAGAACCCATCTTCAGAAAACTCTCCTTTGCCCCACTAAAGAAGCAAAACCCACAAAAACTAAGTCTTTAAATTTGGAGTTTGATTCTTTCAAAGATATTTGCAAGAAAGGCTAATTTTTTGCCGTTGCAAAATTGAGTTAGGCGCAGGCTCAAGCTCATCAGCCCCACGGCAATTAATTATCTAGCATTATATAATGATAAAGTTGTAAATATTTAAATACTATAAAAACTAAATTCGCTTGTGATTTACTCAAGAGAGAGAAAAAGACAAAGCCAAAAGGAGAAACGCTTTTCTTTCTTTTGTTTTGTTCCTTCTGCTCTTCCCGTAGGCTGTTTTTGCGTCTTTCTTTACTTTGGCTTTGTCTCTTTCAAAAGTTTTTTCACCTTCCTTAGTTAACTAATCCAAAAAGGAAAAACGATCAGACTCTTTAAATAAAAAAAATTATCTTCAATAAGATTCCTTTCGTTGAAGCTTCCTCAAGGAGACATCAATTAAATTAATTTCCATGTGCCAAATTTTAATGACTTAACCATAGTGGAAGTAACATTTCTTCTGGGTTTTTTTTCAATTTTGTTTGATGCAAAGGCTAAAAGAGAACGTGACTGTTTAATATTTTGTAAAATCAAATGGTTAATGGTGAAACCATGAGGGGAAAAGAGGAGGCTTTGCTGAAGTTTTTTTGATTATAATGTTTGATTCATGAAATATCACTGCAACTAAAAAGCAAATAAAAGTCAATTTCTTGATTTTAGTGGTGAAGGGTGAAGAATCTTGAGAAAAGAGTCGTAGTAGAGTGGAGAATTTTGCTGGTCTTGGATTCGCAATTAAATCAGAGCCTCACAAAATGACATGAGTGATATTTGGAATTTGTCCAATTAAGATAAAAATTGCTTTTTTCTTCTTCTTTTTTTTTTTATTTATCTCCTCTCTCTCTGTTTAGGTGACAAGTAAGTCACTCCCGAGTCATGCAAGCGATGGACTATTACTTTTTGGACATATCCAACCTCAAACTGAAACTAAACGAGTTCTCAAAATTCTTTGTAATTTTCATACTTTTTTCTAGGAATGAGAATTACATTCACCCTTCTAAACATTGACATTGACCTAAATTTATTATCGTTTAACGGCTATAACTCTAATATTTTATTTTCAATTCATTATATTACAATCAAAAATTAATATTAAAAGTATTTTATAAAATATTTCTTTATTTAAAAAATTTTATTAAATATTCAAAAAAGTTCTCGAATTATGTTAAAAAAATTAATTTAGCTTATATTATTTTATTACGTTTAAATAAGCTCTTGATTTTTTATTTTTGATCAAATAAACTTTTCTCATTAACCGTTTAGTCAATGATACAATTCAGCAATTTTTTATGCCATGTCATCTATCATGTAGCAAATGATGTCGCATCTAAAATTACTGATTAAGAAATAGGTTTTTTACTTTTTATCTATCTCAATGTTTACAAATTATTGATTAGAGATTTCAAACAAAAATTAAAAAAAAAATAATTACTCTAACCTGATTATCATTTTTTCTTAACTAATTACCATCTTCTCTACAATTATTAACAAAAAGAAAACCTTAAAACTAATTGCATAATACAACCATGTACTCAAATAACCTAAACAAATCAAAATTTACAAATAATTCTTCACTTTCTTCAACGTTCCTTAAGCCTAATGCACCTTCTAGTCAAAATGTCTTTTCCATGTCTACAATTCTTATTCTTTTTCTAAAAATTATTTTTTGGGCAATCTTGAATTTTCAAAAATTGTAAAAGATATATAGAGAGAATTTATTATTATTAATAAATAAAACTCAACACCTATCGTACTCTCCTTACAAATTATAAGAAAGAGAAGAGAATGAATAGACTTTTTTTTTTATTGGGCAGCAACGTTATGTGTTCTAGTTTCAATATTATAAATATTATGTCTTACCTTTACTCTTTCTCTAATTAAAATCGTTTCTGGATATTTTCAAAAAATTTTATACTAACTTTCAATCTAGTTGAAAAAGTTGGATTAGGGTTTTTTTTTTTGTTAAGAAGGATGGGTTCAATTAAGAAAATAGTAATCAATTCAAAAATAAGGTAATCAATTTGACGCAGTTAGGTATTTTTTTCCAAAAAATATTATTTCACCAAAAAATATTATTTCAAATCCCTAATCAATAACTTTTGGATATTTGGGTGGATAAAAAAGAAGAAAACTATTTCTTAATTAACAATTTTTCATGCCACATCATTTTTCCCATAGCATTAACGTCATCAATATCAAATGTCAGCATATCATGTGACAAATAATGTGGCATCAAAAATTACTGATTATACTATTGATTAACGGAAGCTAGTCAAGGGATTTATTTGACCCATAATAAAAATTCATGGACTTATTTGAACACAATAAAAGGATAGGGACTAAATTGAATTTTGTGATATAGTTTGAGAGTTTATTGGATATTTAGTCTAAAAAATGTACTCTAACTATTCGAATAGAGATATAAACGCTTATTATTAAATCAAATATTCAAGTGTCTATTGTATATTCTTTTATCATTAATTTTAGATATTTTAGAATTAAATTAAATATAAAATTTTAAATTGCATTTGTAAATAGTAAATTTAAGATATAATGCTTTAAAACTCTCTAACTATTCAAAAAAAATTCAAATAAGTTTTTATTCTTCTATTATATTCAATCAAGTCCTTATACTTTTACCTTTTAAAATAAAATCTATGTACTTTTATTTTAGACCAAATAGATCATTATGATTAATAGTTGAGTAACGGTTATTTGTCATTTTATACTTACGTGACTGATACTGTCGTAAAAGATGAAAAATGGCACGTGATTATGTCATAATGTCATATCAACATGTTACATCATCATTCGCTATAATATGTATACATATTACGTTAATACCACGTAACATAAAAATGACAAATAATATTTTGATTAATAACAGTTAATCAATCGTGATTTATAAAGGTTTATATGGTTCAAATAAAAATATAAGTATTTGATTGAATGCAATAAAACATTAAAAAAAATTTTAAAATGTTTTTAAGTAATTACAAAAATTTTTAAACATTATGCCTAAATTTAATTACTCATTGTAAATAAAAATGAGAGATTTGAACCCTATCATGCTTCTTACCAATTTTACGTTTTTCTATTTCAATGAAGAAACTTCACCTCTAAAATTGAAGTTATCGTCTTGGAATGATATGCTTTACCATGAATCCTGGATTTACAACTCGAAGCTAAAATATATAATCAAATCTAATCTTAGATACAAGTTAACTAAGTTAAGGTAAGAATTAAAGAAATATCCAGAATAGTCATTTCAAAAGTTTGTGTTTTATGGAAACGTAAATTCCATAATTAGTGAAAGCTCATGTGCTGTTTTCTAGAAAAAGATGACATTAATTTATGTTAATCTTTCTTGAAACTCTAAAATTCGTAATATGCCCATTGCATGGATCCTTAGAACTACAAAATGAAAACAATAAAAGGTAAAAATATAGCATGAGCCCATTTTCAGTGAATAAGTTCTTCATTTCCTGATATAGGAAAACACTCGCATGAGCCCTTAAATATTTGTTGTTTGCCATCATATTAATCTATTTGTCCAAGGCCAATCATTGTTTAATCAAAGTGTTAGGTCCTTATGTTTATTCTGTTTAAAGCAATTCCCTAGTTTAAACTCTCAAATGCTAAAAAAGACAACAAAACAAATAAGGCCTAGAAAGAGAATAGAGTTGTGGGATATATGAAATATATCATAATGCAAATTACAATTAATAGTGTATCAAATTTATGAATATTACAAAAAACCTTCATATAACCATCTTATCATTTTGTTTAATCTTGTCCATACTTTTTTTTTATAAATTTATTATTAATTTTTATTGAATATAAATATTTTAAATAAGAAACTTTTAGTTTAATAGTCATCTTTAAAAATTCTTTTTATAAGTTTGAGTCCTACAATTATTTAATTTATTTTATATATAATTTTTAAATAATTATTAATTTAGAATCGATTCAGATTTCAATGTTATGGTCCAATGTGACTAGATAAATGTCTAAAATCATAAATTACCTAAAATTTTTAGGTAATGGATTGCCTATCAAATCATAAGACCGCTCTGAAATCAACTCAAATGTCTTGGTTTGACACCATCCATGAGTGACCTTAGATTGTTACTCACTCTCAACCAACATGTCATTATTGTACATGCACAAATACTATCTTCTTTAAAAGAGACATACTTTTTTTTTTTGGATCCTTTGTTTTTTTAGTTGTGGTAATAGTTTAACTCCATTGGCTCACGCTATGACGTAGATATCAAATAGTATGCAGATAGGGTGAAGCTAAAGTATTTTTTAAGGGAGGTCAAATAGAATAAAATAGTTAAAAATAACTTTATATATAATTTAATTCTTACTAATCTAAAAGATTAAGTAAAATTTTTAAGATATTAGACATACAAAAAATACACATTAATAATAATAATAGTATCACATATATATATATATGACTAAACGAAACTATAAATTGAGTTTCTTTCATTCACTGCACAAAAGAGTGGAAGAAAAAATAAGTTTTCAAACGTAAATAAGTTACTTCTTTACTTTGTGTGTTCTACACGAAATAGATAGTTTTTTTTTAGAAAGTTCTCCTCATTATTTATTGTTTCATTTTATATATTATATTTTTTTTATTATTATTATGTTCATTTTTGTCAACACATGAATGAGCTAGGTTTTCCTATTGTTTCAGTAAAATCTGAGTTTTTCCTCACTTAAAATATTTTTCAAGAAAGTTTATCTTTACAAGATCTCTAAGAAAATCTCATTGTTATGAATTATCATTCATGTCCTGATTTAATATCTTTGATGCACATGATGGAATCAAAAAATGGATTTCTTGATTTTATTAAATACCAAATGAAAACTTTTTATTGATAGCATTACTTGAACCCTTTCATCTTTCTGGTGGAATTTGAGAATACTTCCTTACTTGGAGAATTTCTCAAGAAAACTTATCTTTACAAGTTTCTTGAAAAAGTCCCATCATCGAAGGTTATCATACGTGTACAAAGGTGTATAATAGCATGATGCAAATTCCAATTTATTTAAATACGAACAAAACCTTTTATTAACATATTTCCTAATTCCTCCCATCTAGGTGGGATGAAGAATACTCTCATGTATGGAGTTCTTTGAAAAAGTTTATCTTTATAAGTTTCTCGAGAAAGTCTCATTAACGGAGATCTCAAACGTTTGGAAAAACATATACCAAAAATGAATGCAATGATTAGCAACAAATAGATGTCGATGATGCATAAAGAGCAAATTCTTCTTTCAAGAAAATTAACTTGAAATTGTGACTTTTTACATTTTAAGTGAAAATGTTAAAATTAGTTTAATTTAAGTAAATATATTTAATTTATTAATTTCATACTAACTATGTTAATGAAACATTATAAAATGAAATGGACTTAAAATAAAAAGAGGTTCAAGAAAGTACCTTTAGAGGACTAGGTAAGAGCACACTATTTTTTATCGCTGTTAGGCCTCCACGGGCTTAGACCCTTCTCCACCCCCTTTTTTCGTTTTCTGTTGAACCTCTCTTCTTTTCTGGTTTTTCTCTGCTGAGCTCTTCCTTCTCTGGGCCTAAGATCCACTGAGCTTCTACTTTGGGTCACGCACTGGGCTTTTCCTCTGCTACTGGCCCGCTTCTCCCCTCGGTTTTTATTCCAAAAACTTCATCTGGCTAAAGTTTCTTCTCCCCTCGTAATTATAAGAAGCGCCATTTCTTTTCTCTGTACATCTCACTGCCCACGCCGGCCAAGGCTGCTCAGAATGTAGCCAGCCGCCGCGTCCGTCAAACGCCTGTATCAGGGGTCGGAAAAATGTCTGAAAATCACAGAAAATTTCTCTTGATCTCTTGTACCTTTTGATCTGATTATTTCTTCCAAAAGCCTTTCCTTCTTTCCTAGATAAAAAAAAATCGAAATTAAAAAAAAAGTCTAGATCCACCGCCGACCGTCGCAACCATTTTTCATCTTCTTCTCCACCTCCTCCTTCCTTTCACCGATTGAAATGCCTAACAACCAAAGCAACCGAGCTCTGAAACCGAATGGTGCGAATACTGAAACCCAAAACTCATCGATCAGAATCCCTTGAAAGCTCTAAAAGCGGTGGAACTAGCCTCCGTTCATACTGAACGGAACCACTTGCCTATTTTGCTTTTTTTGTTGGTTTGTTTTTCTGACTTTTTTGTGTGAAAATGGCTGCTAGTTTTCTCGGTCAAGTTTTCTCGGTCTTTTTTCCTTTCTTACCTCCCTAATTATTTGTTCTTGGGTTGTCGCTAGTTTTATAAGCAAGGGAGAGGTCACTTTCACGCTGCTGCCATCGGTAGCGGACAGGCGGCTTTGACCTCAGCTACTTGTTATTATTTTTATTGTTTTTCTTTAATTTTTTTTTACAGCTTCATTTTAATTTCTTGTTTCTTGAGGAGTTTCAGAAGAGGTTAAAAAGAGTGTTTGGACAAGGAGGCGGCTGCCATTTTTTTTATTTTCGTTTTTTATTTTTAAACTTTTAATTTGTTTATGTTTCAAACCTCACCCTAAAATCATTCCTTTATTGTTTTCTGGCCACCACCCGGAGGCGTAAACGACTAAGATCCTTGTTATTTTTCCAGATACTCTGACGCCGAACCTGAATCATATAAAAACTTAAAATATTATCAAAATCCAATTTTATTAGTGTAACACTACCTGCCAATTATTTAAATCTGTTATAAATTTTTTGATATTTGGATTCCTGTTTAATATTTCGAACTCAAAACTCGAATTGAAAATATTTTATATTAATTCATATATAATTACTTAACAATTAAAATTTTAAAATAACTAAAATAGTAAAATTAGAACATAAAATCATATAATCGTAACTTCTAACGCTACATTCAAATATAATATCAAACATTATATTCAAATGCAGCATACAATAATATTATATTTAAATATAATATCTAACCTCTAATTGAAAATCTTACACAAATAAAAATGATGAAAAATTATATAATTTAAATTATGATAAATATTTTTTATAAAACAAATGATAAAAAGTTGATAACTAACATTCCATTTCATTCTCTTAACTATTTTTGAGTGCATGTTAATGTCTTCAAAGTTATATTACCATGTTTATTCACCACACTTCCACTAATACTAAATGCAACTATAGAAATAGAAACAGTAAAGAAATCTTTAGACATCATTTACAATGTAAAATACTTTAACAAAAGTAAAAATATATTATAATTAAATGAAAACAACTACAACAAAAATAATTTTAGAATAATTGAACAAATAATTGAAAATCGAGATAAACAAGCTCGCATAAGGATGTATTTATAGGAATAAAGTCATCAAGGGATGTGCCATGTGTTTGCTTAGCTTATCTATCTAGATTCTATGAAGGGTATGCCGTTTTGGCTGACTTAAGGTTTTGATGGTGATTGATATTTTATAATGTAATGTGATTGCAAGCAATGTAATTGTAAGAAAAATAACATTACAATATTTAGTATATAAGCAAAATAATGATTAAAATGTAAATAAGATAACATTGTAGCGTTTGGTTTATAAGTAATTTGCTGGAAATGTAACGTTAATTTTTAAAATTATTTCTATTTATTAAAATACAAGTTTAATATACTTATATTTTTTATTATTAATCTTATATAATATCATCTCTTAAATATATTTTTAATCTCATATATTTTATTTTCATTTTTTATTACAATCTTATACTTGTTATTTTCATTTCTTTTATATAATTTTTTATATTATATATTATATTTTAATTTATTTTACTTATATTATATAAATTTTAATTTCTTATATTTTATTTTATTTTAATTTTTGATTCTTATATTATATATTTTATTTTAATATTTTTATTTTAATTATAACAATACTAAATGTTTTTAATGAGGTAATAAAGTTGAAAGGTAAAAATATCTTTAATAACATTGTAAAATGCAACGTAATGTGATTATATTGATTTTGAATTGTAATCATATTGGTTGAAATGCGATTACATTATAATTTTATATTACAGTAGTATGTTGCAAAATAAACACTGAAATGTAATTTAATTAAATTCATTGCAAAAAGTATACTTTCACTTCTCTTATACCAAATGCTACTTTTTGATTACTTTGGTCCTGCAAGGTATAAGCAAAAGGAAGAACATGAAAAGGCTACAGGTATAAGCAGAGCGTCTCAAAATGCATCTTTAGGTTTCAATCTTGGTCATCCAATGTGTAGTTTTCTATCTAATCTGGATCGAGTTCACTGTCACTACTCATTCCAGGTATCCAACTTTGTAAGGAAGACCAAACTTAAGGAAAAAAGTTGGGGATCTTGCATGTTTGCAATATCAAGATGTTTACTGATAAAATTAGTGAACAATGATCAGGTTACATCAATGTGATTACAGATACAAATAGCACATCGTAACAACTCTCGTCACACTCTGATTACAAGCAATCAGACACTTTCAAAAGTACAACCAAAAATAAGAAATAACGATGAACACCCTTGTTGATAAGCATATCCGGAAAGCAAACAATATATCATCCTCAAAAGGGCTTTCAACTCCCCTTATGCTGATCCAAATTCGGTAAACCACTTTTCATGCTTCTCAATATCGGCTTGAGAAACACTTCTCTGGACCTTCGCCAAGGCTTCTTCAAAGTCACACATTGCAACTGGATCCTTTGAAATCTCATCTTTGGACATGTTCTTAATCTCATCCCGCGTCTTTCCAGCTATTTTACGCCTCATTCCATTCAAGGAAGCATCGCGACAAACATTTGTGAGGTCATCCCCACTATATCCCTCTGTTCGACGAGCCACTTCATCAATATCCACATCAGGGGCCACCTGCCACATATACATATCAATATCGTTCAATTGAACACAACTTAATGTTAGCAAAACAAAATAAATTTATCGTATATATTAACAAAGAAATTGACTATAAGACTACAAAATATATATATATATATA